GGAGGTGTAGATGGAGAAGAGAAGGGGCCTGAGGACAGAGCCTTGTGGAACCAGAGAGGGAGAGTGAGGGGGAGGCAGTAGCGTTATAGGTAACACTGAAGGAGCGTTGTGATAGGTAGGATGAGAGGCAGGAGAGAATGGAATCTCTGAGGCCAAGGGAGTGTAGTTTTTTGAGGAGGAGGGGGTGGTCGACTGTGTCGAAAGCCGCGGAGAGGTGGAGGAGTAGGAGAACTGAATAGTGGCCATTAGCTTTGGCGGTTAGCAGGTCGTTGGAGAGTTTGAGTAAGGCGGTTTCGCTGGAGTGTAGGGGATGGAAGCTAGACTGTAGGGGATCGAGGAGGTTGTTGTTGTTGAGGTGGGAGCTTAGGCGATTGTAGACTAAGCGCTCGAGGAGTTTGGATGTGAATGGCAGCAGTGAGATGGGTCTAAGGTTGTTCGGGTCAGTGGGGTCCAGGGAGGGCTTTTTAAGTATGGGGGTGATGTGCGCGTGCTTCAGAGGGGAGGGGAATGTGCCGGAAGAGAGGGAGAGATTAAAGTTGTGGGTGAGGGAGCGTAGGATGGAGCAGGAGGGAGGTCATAGGAGTTGTGAGGGGACAGGGTCAAGGGGGCAGGTGGTGGGACGGGCTTCAGAGAAGACCTTGGTGACCTCCTCAATGGTAGTAAGGTCGAAGAAGTGGAGTGCTGAGGGGGCTTCAGTTTGAGGAATGTTAGGTGTGGTGGAGGTCTCAACAGTGGTGAGGCCGAGGGAGAGGGGTGATGAGGGGGTTGCTGTGTGAGAGAGGGGATGGGTGGGGAGGAAGTTTGAGCAGCGGCGATGTCCCTGCGAAATGCATCAATCTTGTTTTTTAAGTGATTGGCAATCTCAAGGGTGGTGAGTGAGGTGCTGGGTGGAGGTGGGGGCAGAGAGAGTAGAGAGTTGAAGGTGGCGAAGAGCCGGCGAGGATTGGAGGAGTGGGTCTTGATGAGGGTCAGGAAGTAGGCTTGTTTGGCAGCGTGGAGGGAGGAGGTGTAGGTGTGGAAGGCAGGTTTATAGCGGGTGAATACTAGTTGGGATCTGGTTTTGCGCCATAGTTGCTCCAGCGTATGACTGAGTCATTTGAGAGTTTTGGTGTGATCAGTCTGCCAGGGCTGGAGCGGTCGGGGTCTGATGTTTCATGTGGTTAAAGGCGTAGCGAGTTAAGGGCAGTTGACAGCGAGTTGTTATAGGCGGTGATGGCCAGGTCGGGGCGGGACAGGGGAAGGAAGCTGTCGTAAAGTTGATCAGCTGTAGAGTGGAGGGGGGCAGGGTTCAGGTTGCGGAGGTTACGGCCGGTAGTAGTATGACATTTGGAGGGGTAGGCGTTAGAGGATGAGGAGACAGAGAAGGTAATAAGGTTGTGGTCAGAGAGAGGGAAGGGGGTGTTTGTGAGGTTGCGGGGAGCACAGAGATGGGAGAAGACAAGGTCCAGGATATTCCCGTCGGAGTGGGTGGTGGATTGTATGCACTGTGCTAGTGCAAAAAGAGGAGGTTAAGTGGAGGAGTTGGGATGTGGCCGGGTTGTCGATGTTGACAGGGGCGTTGAAATCCCCAAGGATGATGGTGGGTAGCTCGGAGGAGAGAAAGAAGGGTAGCCAGGCGGAAAAGTCATCAAGAAAGTGGGATACGGGTCCAGGAGGCTGGTAGATTACAGCAATCCTCAGGGGGGTTGGGGAGAATAGTCGGATGCAGTGGGCCTCGAAGGAGGAGAAGGATAGAGAGGGGGGTTTGGGACTACTCGGAAGGTGCTCTGTGGTGACAGGAGCAGACCAATCCCACCACCTTTATGACCGTTGGGTCTAGGTGAGTGGGTCCTGATGAGACCTCCATAGGAGAGTGCTGCAGGGGAGGTAGAGTCAGTGGCTTGGATCCAGGTTTCCGTGACCTCCATAGGAGAGTGCTGCAGGGGAGGTAGAGTCAGTGGCTTGGATCCAGGTTTCGCTAGGAGGTTGAGGGAGTGGGAAACAAAGAGGTCGTGGATGGCGGTGAGCTTGTTGCACACCGATTGGGCGTTCAGGAGTGCACACGAAAACGGGGGGTGGTTTTAGGGAGCAGGGGGACAGATACTAGGTTGAGGGGGTTGCGGCAGGATGTGGAAGTGGGAGGGTGCCGTGTGGGTGAGCGAGGTGGTGGAGGGCCAGGGTTCGGGGAGATGTCCCCCGCAGTTACTTCTAATTCTAAAAATTAGCTTAATTCTATAAAGTATTGCCAGGATGTGTTTTGTAATCCTTCTAGCATTTGGAAAAGAATATTTATTTTCACAATATTTTCAAAGCCAGGGTACTGACCAGACTATAGGTGAACATTATGCTTTGATGGTGGAGAACATTTATAGGAATCAATCAAAGGGTATAAAGATAAACTATTTTGCCAGACAAATGTATCCTCTTACCTGTCAATTAAGGCCTGAGAGGATGTCAAAAACTATCATCTACTGTATTCCAACAATCACCCAACTGTAGAAGGTACAAGATGGAACCCCCAAGCAAACTAAACTGGAGCCTTTCCTCTGCAGTGCCCTGGAAGAAATGCATATCTCTCTTATTTGAGAACCGCATTGAGAAGTACAGTGTTACTTGAATTGTATTCCAGGATTTTCTTGTCTTCAGCTGAAAGAACTTGCAATAATTTAAGACTTTACAAAAAGTCCATTTCTACTCCCTGGGAAAGAAATCCAAAAGGATGAGTATGGTTCTATGGACTACCTTAACTAAATACAAGGATGGTAAGGGTTGCTATCTTTCCATAAAAATTTTTCATTTTAAGGAAAATTCTCATTCATACACAAAACATGACTTTTGCCACAGTCTACATGCCTTATCACAACCAAATTCCATTCCTGGAATTGACATTAGAAGCGGGGACTTCAACATGGTTCTAGGCCCCAACATAGATACCACTAGCTTCATTTTCCACCTTCTCGCTCCTACGCATAAATGTATCAAAATGTCCCTACAGCCACATCAATTTGCAGATGTCTTGTGAATTCATCAACTTACCATCAAAGATTACTCTTGGCTCATTCACGTGATCCTAATTAAATATTGGCATCTGCAACTTGCATCCCATTTGGGGGATAATCCTCTCCAACTATGCTCCTGTCAACCTAGATTGATACCTTGATACCCTTACACCCACCACCTGGCACTGGTAGCTCAATATTTTGATTTTACAGGATACTACTGCCCTGTCAGACCTTAAGAGGAACCCAAGTCATACATTTCTATTAATATCACTCCTGACATACTCCCTCACACAATATGGGAAGCCCACAAACCCTACCAGAGAGGTATACTAATCAAACAAGGGTCCCATTTTAGGAAACAACAGGGTGAACACATCACTGACTTACTAACTCAGATTAACAGACTGGAGACCCTTCATAATAAAAATAAAACTGTGGACATACTCAAAGAATTAACTAGCTGTTGACCCAAGTATCTCTGTCTTAAAAAAGCTAAGGCTACCATGCCCTAGGCCAGTGCCGACATATGAAGAAAGACTTTATTCAGAATCAGTAAAGGATAAATTGCCTTATGACATCTTTTAATTGAGATTACAAGTACGGAAGCAGTGTATTTAAAGTGCCCTCTTGGATTTATGACTAGGTCAAGAAAAATCTGAATTATAAATTGGCAAACAAGGGCCTAAAATAATGCAGGCTCACCATTTTGCAGATCATAAATGACCCAGGTAATGTTTAGACTTGCTACATGTTCAGCATGCACATTCACATTGAATCAGCCAGGCCAACACAAGCAGTAACAGCAAATTCACCAGAGTCACTCTGGCACCTGCCTGCCACATGTGCTGAGCCAGCTTGCTATTTATTTATTTATTTCAGGTACTTATATAGCGCCGTCCATTTTACGCAGTGCTTTACACATATATACTGTATACTGTACATTCACATCAGTCCCTAACCCTCAAGGGGCATACAATCTAAGGTCCCTAACTTAACTTCATACATACACATACTAGGGCCAATTTAGACAGGATCCAATTAACCTACCAGCATGTCTTTGAAGTGTGGGAGGAAACCCACACAGGCACAGGGAGAACATGCAAACTCCAGGCAGGTGGTGCCGTGGCTGAGATTTGAACCAATGACCCTAGTACTGCCAGGTGGAAGTGCTAACCATTTCACCACTGTGCTGCTATTTAAACTTGTAGTAAATTTGCTCAGCATTTATGTATCATACAAGTTCTGGTTAGGTCTATACAAAACTTTAACACACAATAAAACTCTATGAAAAGCTCCATTTTATCCAGAATATATTTATAGCAGTACAGTATATCCACTTAACTAAAGGCAATATTTTTTTTAATTTTAAATACTGTAAAGTGGAGATGGTGGTGTTTGCTACATGTGTACCCATTAAGGAGATTATCTTTCTGTTTTTGTCCCGGTGACCATTATCACAAATAGAGGAAGTAAAAGAAAATCCCAAATCTTGAGTTGTCACCAGAACAGGAATAGGGGGGGACATCTTCTAATCTGGAGACTAGTTCCAGTGGCCTTGTGTAACAACCAGGGTTTCCCTTACTTGAAAGGTATTTCTTATAATTTGCCATTATGGCTATAGAACAGAAAGTGAAGGAAATGGGACACAGATGGCAAACAAACTGACAGGGGTTATAGCTCTCCCTTACGCTATCTGAATAAAAAAAAATGGTACTAATTTAACCCCTTCACGCCGGTGCCTCCCGACCCTTTAAGGGGTTTCTGATGCGGGAGGCAGGCAGGTTTAGGTTCATGTGACCGCCATGATTGGCACATGATCGGAAAGGTCCCAATCGCAAGGAGAGATTGGGACCTTTCTGTGGGACGCCGACACATGTGCTGGGAGTGCGTAGGGCTTTACATGAAGTTACAGTGTTTACAAATGGCGTAATATATATATATATATATATATATATATATATATATATATATTGGGTTTTTTGGGGTTTTTTTTTACTAGTAATGGCAGTGATCAGCGACTTACAGAAGGACTGTGGCGGGCATTCTGACACTGGGGGGAACTGACTTGATGTCATTGACATCCCCAGTGACACCAATACAATGATCAGTGCTAAAAAAAAGCCCTGACACTGTACTAATGGCACTAGGCAGGAAGGGGTTAACATGAGGGGCAATCAAAGGGGTTAACTGTGTGCTGTTTTACATTGTGCTGTGTCCGTGTGCGTCACTGTAAGCACACTGCTTTGCATGGCTGTGCTGTGCAGAGCCATCGAAAGCAGTGTGCACAAGCTGACAGGGAGGAGAACTGTTTTGTTTACATACAGTTCTCCTTCCCATTGGAGATGCTCAGCAATCACCGGGTATCGGCGAGTAATCACCGGATGGGACCCGATGATTGACAGCTGTGAATGGTGGCATGAGCAGGGCACGTGGTCGTCACCGACCTGGAAATGCAAAATCATGTATGTATATAATGTGATTTAGCGCACCAATGCCACCCTGTAGCAGTATATCTGCTATAGGGTGGTTGGGAAGCGATAAGTTCACCTTTAGAACATGTTACATGTTCCACCCGTTTTTAGGGTGGAACATGTAACATGTTCCCATACCTGCAGTCGCTTCTGCTGCCTCCCCTCCCTGTGACAGATAGTACGGGGAAACTTCTCCTTGTACTGTCAAATTTGAAAACAGCGTGGCTGTGTGGGGCTCCACCGTGAATGAATGTACTGCAAGTACCGACAGCCTTAGCGGCTGTGGGCTTGTAGTTTTCAATTAACTAGCATGGCGCTGTGGAGCACCATTGTAGTTCATTGAAGCTTCCTGTCAGAAATATCTGCTTGCTCGTACATCCTGTACAGCAAGCAGATACTCTGACAGGTCTGCAGGAGACCTGCATGGCAATCAGCGATCTACTGATCGCTGGTGCAATGATGCTTTCCAGGCTCCTTTGGACAAAAATAATAAATGCACATTTTTTTACCTGCAATAAAAATGTGCATTTATTATTTTTGTCCGAAAGGTGAAGATCTTTAAATTGAGTCGCGCAGTGGAAAATAAGTATAGGCACCTTGCGGTGCTTGCTTTGTAGAAAACCTGTTCGTTTTCTCAGTTTGGGCCAACGCACAAGTTCACTCTCAAGCATACAACAAATTCAAACTACCACTTTTATTAAATAGCTGCATTTCATTGCATGAAATATTCACTATATGCTAGAACTAGAGGTGAATTACTTTATTCTGCATTTTTGCCATGAAAACAAAGGGAGAGCAACTGCTTTTGTGTGTGTCAGTTGGGCTTTTTGCAGAAGAATTTAGTGCAGGAATAAAGTTAAATGAAAAATAAAACTCCACCCGTAGAGTGGACTTTTCCTAATTTACAGCCACTGTACTGTTTCACCCTACATTGCTCTGGCACTACCCATGCCAGTCTATAACATGCAATGTCTTCTACTCTCTCCTGTATCAATCCAATTATTAGACAAGCCACCTCAAAACCTTACATTCCACAGGTGCTCAAGCACTTGTCAGAAGGGGGTGAAGGAATTGTAGGACAAGACATTGAGCCAGGACAGTGCTCGTATCAAAAGCCATGATGTACTGCATGTTAGTCCTACAGCTTGTGAGAGAGACGTTGTGAATGTCTGGTCTGCAGAAAAAAAATGAAGCAGTAGCCGCTTGTTGGCCTTTGGCGAGGTTTCACTAAAAACCCTTAGTTCTTCTCACCTTAATAATAATTATCTCGTTTATATTTATTACATACCCCACACCCAAACTCCCTACTGTCCTGACTTGTAATAAATGCAACTCCGATTACATCACCCTATACACCACCCCCAATTATAATATTGACTCATCTACCCATTATTTCATCTATACCTCTACCCCTCTACCACATCTTCCGTACTCCCCATAACATGATGCTCACCCGTCCACCTCTTCTCCGCCAAACTACCTATTCACCTTCTATTTCTCCAATAATCCCTATTCTCCACACCTATCAATTCTTGTCTCACAACAGACCCATAATTTACCCACCTAAGATCCACCCATCCTTATCATCCCTCTTACACCTATATTGCATTTATCCTTTCCACTTTCACCATCTACTAACATCTCGCTATCCCCCATTCAACTCCCACAACCCAAAAACCAGTCATTACCCCACCGATCTACCCTTCAGTCGCAATCAGTATCCCAACCTATACGGTTCCCGGATGCAACTCATCTACAGCAACTCATTGCACTCCAAGATCACCTCCAACAGGAACAACCACTCTACCAAGTCAGTTGCCCCACAAACCTTGTAATCTTTTTAATAGAGCAGTACGTCCCATACCTCCCACTACCCTCCCCAGTCACTTAATATCCTTCTTTACACATCATACAATCGGGGAACCTGTCTCACCCCCCCTGTCAGCATCACCGTATATTGACCTCAACCCCTCCTACACTACCCCCTAACCCCCCCCCATACTAACTAACGTCCCCTTCCCCCATACCCCCCTCAAACTATGACCATACCCACCCCCACCCCACAAAACCACCCCCAATTAAACCCACCCCCCCCCTAACTTCATTAACAATCGCCACCACACCAACCAACACCCTCACACTCCCTCACCCCTACCACCCCTTATGAACCCCCACCTAACATAACCCAAACTATTCTTCCAAACCCTCATCACACACAACCTAAAAACCACACACACCCCCAACCACCCCTTATAAAACCCCCAAAAAAAAACCAAACCCCCCCCCCCACCAACCTAACACCCCCCCCCCCTCCCCCCCCCCAATTTCTCCAAAGCCCATCACCACCCCCCCCACCCCAAACCCCCCCCCCCCCCCCCCCCAAAAACACCCCCCCACCCCCCCCCCCCCCCCCCCCCCCCCCAACCCCCCCCCCCCCCCCCCCCCCATTCCCCCCCCCCCCCCCCCCCCCCCCCTCCCCCCCCCCCCCCCCCCCCCCACCCCCCCCCCCCCCCCCCCCCCCCCCCCCCCCCCACCCCCCCCCACCCCCCCATCCCCCCCCACCCCCCCCCCCCCCCCCCCCCCCCCCAACCCCCCCCCCCCCCCCCCCCCCCCCCCCCCCAACCCCCCCCCCCCCCCCCCCCCCCCCCCCCCCCCCCCCCACCCCCCAAAAAATAAAACCCCCCCCCCCCCCCACCCACACTACCCCCCCCCCCCCCCCACCCCCCCCACCCCCCCCCAAACCCCCCCCCACCCCCCACACCCAACCCGTCTATACTCCCCCATCCCATCCCCCCACCCGACCCCCCCCCCCCCACACCCAACACCCCCCCCACCACAAAAAACCCCCCCCCCAAAAACCCCCCCCCCCAAACCCCCCCCCAAAACCCCCCCTTCCCCCCCCCCCCCCCCCCCCCCCCCCCCCCATAAAAACCCCACCCCCCCCCCCAAAATAAACCCCCCCCCCCCCCCCCACCAAAACCCCCCCCCCCCCCCCCCCCCATATCCCCCCCCCCCCCCAATCCCCAAAAACCCCTATCCCCCCCCCCCCCAACCCCCCCACCCCCTATCCCCCCATCTCAAAAAACACCCCCCCCCTCCCCCCCCCCACCCCCCCCCCCATCCCCCCCCCAACCCATACCCCCCCCCATCCCCCCCCCCCCCCCCCCCCAAACCCCCCCCCCCCCCCAAACACCCCCCCCCCCCCCCCCCCCACAAAACCCCCCCCCCCTACCCCAATACCACCCCCCCCCCCCCCCCCCTCCCCCCCCCCCCCCCCCCCCCCCCCCCCCACCCCCCCCCCAAACCAACCCCCCCCCCCCCCCAAAATCCCCCCCCCCCCACTACCCCCCCCCCCCCCCCCCCCCCCCCCCCCACCCCCCCCCCCCCCCCCCCCCCCCCCCCCCCCCCCCCCCCCCAACCCCCCCCCCCCCCAAACCCCCCCCCCCCCCCCCCCCCCCCCCCCCCCCCCCCCCCCCCCCCCACCCCACCCCCGCCCCCCCCCCCCAACCCATAACCAACCCCCCCCCCCCCCCCCCCCCCCCCCCCCCCCCCCAAACCCCACACCCCCCCCCCAACCCAACCCCCCCCCCCACCCCCCACACCCCCCCCCCCACCCCCACCCCCCCCCCCCCCCAAACCCCCCCCCCCCCCCCACCCCACCCCCCCCCCACTCCCCCCCCCCCCCCCCCCCCCCCACCCCCCCCCCCCCGATACACTCTTGCCCGCCACAATCACTACTCGCATTTGCTTGGTCGACCTAGTCCCCCTCTAAAACCCTTCAAAAAAAAAAATCACCGATACTCATCTAAAAACTTCCTCAAAAAAATTAAATAAATCTCAATAACTCTGCGCCACTCCCTTGTAAACTAAAAAAAGCTCGTATTACTAAACGAATCCAAAAAACACGCTCATCGAATCAGTTGTTCACAAATGTGAATCCTAGATAAAGATAAACCAATCTGCATAGTACATCAAAATGAAAAGAAAAGGAACTAAGTGCGCGCTTAAGTTATTTTCTAAAGCAAGGTAAAAAGTCCCTCCCCACTGTAAATAATGAGAGAATAATATCCAAAATTCTTTAATATTTTTTTTACTATCAACAATGAGAAAATGGCATTATTGATGAGTCAGAAAGAATAAAAAAATAGAAAAACAAATATAGAAAATCGCAGAAAAACTACCTTAAAAATGCTTATATTCGCAATAATTGGATGCAAAAAAGTTAAACAAAAATACGATCTCGAGTAGATAAAAAGGAACTAATAATATCGTAACTCTCTGTAATTGTGTTAGCTAAAAACTCACTCTCTATCCCATTCCCATCCCCATTAATTATAAGATTAATCGCTCATTATTTTATAAAATACCAAACACAATAAAAAAAGATCATGAAACCTCTAAGTATATGAAAATTATAAATTTTTGAAAAAAAAGTTCCTGCTCCTAAAAAATGCATGTATTAATTGTGTTTCGCAGTAAAAGCATAAATGAATTAACTGAAGAGTAATTCATACTGGTGACGCGCAATATGTGAAAGAGTTTAAAAAATAACTACGTAGCTCTCCGTCAAAAATAATAAGAAGATAAACATAAATATGCCTCTATTAACTAATTCGTATGTGAAAATGGCGAGGAAAAAAATAATATTAAAAAAAATCTTACATGTGTAAATAAAACTATTGTTTCGCTTTTCGCTTAAAGGAATAAAGAAATGCCAAAAAGGATGTAAATAAAAAGCTTAAAATAAAGTCTCTTCTTAAGTAAAATCCAAAGATAAAGAACTAGATTCGCGTTAAAAACAGTCTGAGCATGTAAGCTTATATGATGATTGTTTTAGAGATTTTGCGAACTACTAGCATGCGCGTCAAGTATTTGTAAGGAAAAAAATACTGTCAATGATTTGTTCTTAACTGATAATGTTAGTTGAAATTGAGTCGTCTATTCATAGACAAAATAAAAAGTGGATATGTTAGAATCCGAGATTATCAGGT